ATCGCACGTCGCTCAGCTGATCGTCAGAACATTTTTTTTTACATTTTTTACTACCGGTTTGGGCGAACTGTCCCGAACCAGTAGCATTTCAACCCTGGTTTGGGGATGAAACCACGAAGTCAGGTAGTGCATTCCAGGCATTGACCACTCTGTTTAACAAATTTGTATTGCATGCTGCCCCCCACAGGTCCTGTGATCATGCCTCCCACCACCATTGGCAAGCTGCCCCTGCAGAACCATTGTTTCTGCCCACCACCTGATTAGATGGGGGCTATTTGTCCCATGCAGCAAAATGCCTGGGACAAACAGTGCCTGGGTGAATGGGCAGGGACGAAGAGCGAGAGGCGGAGGGCCAGGGGACCATTGGCACAATGGCTGGGGAAGGGCAAGCAGAGGAGGAAAGCTGGCTTTGAATCGGCTGAGATGGGTGGCAAAGTAGGCGTAGCCAACCGTCGGTGCCTAAATGTTCCATTACAGTCAGGACAGTGGAAGAAGACTGCAGTCAGCTGAGAGCAGTGAGGGGGAAGGTGACAGGTGAAGATGGCTCCAGAATTCAGGGTAGCTTAAGGGGCAGAGATGGAGTGGGAGATAAGTGGGTGGGGGAAGCTGAAGTGGAGGAAAGTGTGGCATGGTGGCAGAAGTGTAAGTTGTAACGACCACAATAGAACTCCAGGAACGGCTGTTGCTAAATGGTGTGATCACGTTTCAGCCAATGATCCCTTCATTTATTGACAAAAATTCCACCACTATAACTGAGTCTATTCACCTTGTTGCTGGTCATCCCCTTCTTTCCTTCCACTTTTCCCAGCATCATAGCCTTTTCCAGAGAGATGGGTTTTAGCATCATGTATCTCAAGCAGGATAACATGAGACTGGTTATTTGTGTCTTGACTAAGAACTCTGGGTTGAGTTGTTCAATGATCCATCAATTTGTTTTCTTGGCTGTATATTGTTTAGCAAAAATAGAGCTGCAGAATGTTTTTAGCCCCTTGATTTAGAAGCAGCAAAGTCCCCAAATGGCTCTTCAAAAGTGGAACCAGCAGTTTGGAATTCACCACATCCATGCGTCACAAGAATATCTATAAATAAAAAATGTGGGATTCAAAACTGCAGATATATTTAAATCATTTATCCCTTACTCACAAACTCCCAGACTTCCTTAAGATGCTAACAGTACAATTAAAACAGTATGAAAATTGTTATTGAAATCAGTCATAATAGATATATTCTCTCATGTGCATGTATGTTTGTGCATGTGCACATATATGTAGTTTTATTGAAGGTGAACAGCAATGGAAAATAGAAATGTCTATATTTGGTGTCTCAATTCCAGTAGCAAAATCTCCCTGTAGAAAATCTTCTGCAAATAGACACTACAGCTTTTCTCTCAGCTGATCATACCACTTCAACATCAAAGAACCCATATACCAAAGAAATCTTCACACAATTTTTTGGTTGGTTTGCTTTTAAGTCACCATGATGGTCCTAGTTTTTGAAAATGAAAGTTAAGTGGTGAGGTGCTAGATAAGAAGGCTTTATTAAAGGTGAGTAATGGATCTTAGGCTCAAAACATATTCTCAGTCTCCTGAATGTTGGCCATCCAGAACCTGGAAGGCAAGGCAACAAATTTGAACTATAAATGCCACTGGAGGTCCAGTCATTTTTTCTCTGGATTGAAGTCAGGCTTCCCATGAGCAACACAATCAGACTAATCTGTCAGCCTGAATAAGGCTGCATGGAGTCAAGGGCCTTTTCCCAAATCATTGCCTAAGCCTTATGAGATTTTTCTCATTTTTCCCATATTTTTAATCGCTATATTTTCACTTGTTCCGCCGCGATTTGAAGACCTAGTTGTTCTGCAGCCTGGACTGATGGGGGGGGGGTTCTTAATGAATTTTAAATTATTTTAAATTGGAATTTTAATTTTATAGTGTTTTTTAATGAGGAACTCTGCATTTTTACCGTTGTGAGCCGCCCTGAGTCCTTGGAGATAGGGCGGCATATAAATTGTATAATAAATAAATAAAATAAAATATTTTAGCAAAATTATATGAGAATTAGTTTTTAAAAAGCGTGGTATATTTCAATAAGATTTGGAATGGAAACTTCATAAGACACACTATTTGCTTTGGTTTAGAATATTGTAAAAACCTAGCCACTGCAATTTGTTAATCACGGCTTGTGGCTTAATGTAATGCATGAACCTAGACATTTATTATTTATTTTATAAGCCACAGCTTTTAATTTGTATGAACCACTTCTGTTACAAAGGGTATATCTAATCAAATTAACAATACAGTAAGGCAAAATCCTGAAACTTCTAAGCACACTGTATAATAATGCCCTTAGCTGGATCCATTTTTAAAATTATGTAGCATTAAATGAAGCAAATATTGAACAAGCTATTTGGAATTAGTTATTTTACCTATTTTTAAAAACTTTCTCATATAATTTCTCCTGTAACCTTCACATGAACGTTTGGCTGTTCTTTGTGTCACCAGTGAACTCAAGGGCAACAAATGAAATGTAATCAGTACGTTCAGATACAGGGCAAAGTACAACAAAGAAATATTACATGGAAAACATTTCCCAAGGGCCATTGAAAATTTCCTTGTACATGCAGAGCTAGATATTTCTTAAGTAAGCAGCTGATATAATACTCTTACATAAGAGACAAAAAAAAAAAGAAAATTAGGGTTTTAAGTTTATTTAAGTTGAACGTACAATACTGAATTAGTAATACTAATTATCTTGAATATAGGCTAATATTTGAAAATACCAAGGTCAAGTAAAAGAAATACAATAAATGTACATATTTCAAATTATTTTTATTATGGAAAAACATGAACCAACTTATATGCAAATATTTCTTGTGGACCAATGTAAGTATATTCCACAAATATTTTTCATGATTTCACCATCTCAAGAAGCAATCAAAATTACAGGATTAAAGTACGGTATATAGTAGTGATGATTAACCTTTTTGGTGTCGAGTGCCCAAAGCATGCGTACGAGGGCTGTGTGTGCCACCTGTGGCAAGCATGCCATAGGTTCGCCATCACGAGTATATAGCATACAATATACCTCATTACACACAGAAGTGAAAAGCCTAGACTTCTGAAAATTAAATTTCAATAAAAATAGTGAACGAAACACACTTATCCAGGAATCCCAGGTTTTATTATGGTTGTCAAGATGTTTTTTGTGAGCTGCCCAGAATTATAGTTCATAATAAAATACCCAGAATATTGGACTATTTCTAAACATAATACAGAATAATAGTGAAATTTTAAAAATGGCTATGATGAATTCATTTCCATTCTGATAAAATGGTGCTGGAGATGTTTTGTCTTTCATTCTACTTAAGTCAGGAACGGCCAATTTGCCATCCCAAGATTACAAAACACTATAGAAAACCCCAGTGTTCTCTTTGACTATGATGACAAAAAACTGACTGCAGAGTTTCAGCCCATTTGAAGTGGGAAATGGTAGTTATAAAAATACATTCCCAATTCCCTTCAGAAAACTCATCTGTGAAAGGCCTCTATTCACTTTCTAGCGTTTCTTTGTCATAAAAATGGGCACTCTCACCTTACATAGCCTTTGAAATAGAGTGGAATAAGACAATGATATTTTTTTAAAAAAATCACAGCATGTATTCTAAGAGGAGGAATGTTATTCATGTATTTATTATTAAACTTCAATGCAGCCCATCCCACCAATCAACTCTTTTTGACTAGTTAAAACTGGAACAATACTTAGCATTTACCCACTAGGCATGAGTCCCGTCTATCAGAAAATGTAAATTGCCATCAAGTTGAGCTAGATTAGATCGTCACGTCCAGGTTGCTTTCTTTCTGAAAAGATGGAAGTAATCTCTCACAGATTTCTTCCAGGATGTTCCCCAGCCCATCCCCAAGTCCTAGTCTGCTCTACATACCTGAAGATCCTCTCCTTCAAACATATGAATTGCAGTTATACTTGATCACCCCGCAAAAATAATTCGAATAATTATTTTTTCCTAACTCTGTCCACTCAGTTGCAAGTTGTCCTTGTTTGTACTGTACTGGACCTGGTTCCCATCACAAAGATATCTATATGCATGATGTACAAGGGATTTCTTCTACAGTTGGCTTGCCACAAGGTTGTTTTGGAGATGGAGGGAAGTGCCTGGTCCAAGGTCACCCAGCTCTGTGCCTCAGAAGACGTAGAACCTGGATTTTGTCACATAGCCCAGCACTTTACTCCCTATGCCATGCTGGCTTGCAGTGAATTTGAACACATAAATTTAAAACCATTTTATCTTTAATGTCTGCTAATCATGTATACTCAATTGCTCATCAGATACATTTAAATAAGATCTTAAGCATAATACTATGTATGGCTGATCAAAATTAAGTGCTATTGAGTATAGCAAAAATAAGGTTTTAATACTAGGGTTTTACTTGTTTTGGTTTGCTATACAGTATAACTTTTCAGTTCTTCAGACATGTCCGAAAGGAGAAGGGCGGTATAGAAATTTAAATAAATAAATAAATAAATAAATGTTCATGTTTAAGGCTTTAACATGTCTGCTGCTGAGGAGTTATGAATTGTAATTGGAATGTTCCAGAGAAGTCTCCACTTGAATGTGTGTTGACAGGAACACTTAAAACTACGTACATACAATGTATGCAGCTTATCAAGGGAAGCTGTTAATATTGTATCTGTTTTGATAACACCTATTGTGTTGAAAATATCACAAGTTCTGAAACATGAGTAACATCAAGAGAAAAGAACATTTGATGGCTATTAGCTTTCAATTAACCAATAAAATGCTTATCAAATTTTTTTTAAAAAAGTGATTGTGGGCAGGTATGTGCCGTTATCAACTTTTGCTGTTGATGGATGTAATCTGTATGACCTTCAGAGGGAAAAGGTATAAAACCAAAAGTGTTGCCAAATCCTTGTGCACCAGTGGAAGAGTTTGGTTTTTCAGCTCCTAAATCTCAAGGTGGAAAATGGCAACTTTAAATGAAAAAAAGACCTGCAGCCAAAGAATGGAAAATTTCCGACGTTTTGTATGGAATCCAGACACAGGACAGTTGATGGGAAGAACTTTGATTAACTGGGGTATGTGGCAACAAACTTTTTTTTTTAAAGTCTGATTTTAGAACTTTTGGGACTTGTTCTAAGACCAAAAATTAGTCCTGAAAGCTTCCTTACAGAACATTGAAGTCATTTACCCAAATATTACATATTAGTATTATTAATGGTAATTATTATTAAAGAATAATTCTGAGTCCATGCTAGCATTCCAATTGATTTATAAATTGCTTATAAAGAGCAATAGAATTGGGATGATTCCAGATGTCTCCTCAATCAGACTGGCTTTTAAATCTAATTTACATTATACATACTCTGAAATTATGTTGCAAAGGCCAAGGTGAGGACTCACTGTATCTTCAGCTCTGTCCTTCTGGGTTTCCAACTTGCCCTCTTTCAGTCATGTCAGAAATTCCCAATCTGATTAAATACTCTTAATACATTTTATGGCCCCAAATATCCAGAAACTACACAGCTGCTTTCTTGGAGACTAGACAACTGGCTTTGTAAAACCAGAGTAGAATGAAATATTCTAAAAGGGCTGAGTAGAAAGAAACATTTTTTCTTTTTGGTCGATTTGGAAATATGTACTGGAAGGTATGTGTGTGTGTGTGTGTGCATATGTAGGGAAAAGCTAGCTAAAACTGCGTCAAAGTTAGAATGGCTGATCTAATCTCAAATAGTTTGCATAGTATTAAAATATTTTTGTGCTTGCTTCTAGTTGCTTAGACGTCCTTTTGACTTCCAATTAGTCCAATTTTTTTACACTTTATTCACCAATATATTATTCCTGAAGGAGACATTTAATTGGTTTGAGAAGCCTCAGCAGGTTATTGAGCACTATTTGATAATGTACCAATATGTTTAAACTGTTATGCACCTGTTACTTGTAGAATTTCTTTCCCTTTAGAATTCAACAGCTGTCACATTTTAAAATGTATTAATTTCCAGAATAAGGATTAACTAATAAACATGATCAAACTATAGCTTGAAATTTAGTGTTGAAAAGGAACTGAACTCCACACTTCCAATTATACAGCATGGTTCTGATCACCCCGTTTGATCATCCCAAGACCCGAAAGTGAAGTAGCCCAGCATTCACATCCTTCCCACTCAAATTTAGCCGCAGGAATTCCAGTGCTGAGAGGATTTTGAACAGTACAATTTCAACATCTGATGACATGCAGTAATTTGTTTGAATTAAATTGTGCCAGTTTAATGGGACGTTTTTATTTTTAAAATCTATTTTTCTTTCTTACAGTATGGATTAGTCTTTATTATGTTGCATTCTATGTGGTATTGACTGGACTATTCACACTTTCTATCTATTCTTTAATGAAGACAATTAATCCTTATACACCAGACTATCAAGATCGATTAAAATCACCAGGTATTTTTTTTTTTTTACATTTCTTCTCATTTTGTTATTAAACCCATATAATCCAAAATTATTTTATAAATTTATCCAAATTTATGGGAGAGAACACTATGAAAGAGGTAATTTCAAAATTGCTCTTCAAAGCATTGTCAATTGATGGTTAAAATTTGATGGATCTATGTACTGTAGATCCAACTTGATCTTGCTTCTGAGCAGAAATGTATGTAAGAGAAATAGTTCCATCAAATATCTTGTATAAGTATTGTTTATAAAAAGTATTTAGTCTACTCTTGATTCTAGAATGGCTATAACAGGAATAAATAGACCACACTATAGAATAATAAAACCAAGTTTAAATACAGGGGAAAAAACAGCAAGCAAAAAGCTGCATTTCTACCACTTTGACCAATGTATGAGTTGTTTGGCATTAAAAAAGTTGCAAATACTGAATTTTATATAAATGAAAGTTAATGCTATCATATGTAATGGTGGATAAAGTATAATTAAATAAAAATGGCTATTTTTATTAATTAAACTTTAAGCCTTATATTCCTTTAACTACTTTGCTCAAAGGAAAAAAAACAGGTGGTTTACAGCTAAATACATGTAATTTGAGAACATAGATTTCTTGACATCTAAAGACTACACTGCTAAAATATATTTTGCATTTAAATTTTACTTTATGCTAGATTTTGTGAAAAATACTTCATAAATAAATTAATTTTTGTTCTTCTATTTTTGATTTATCATTAAAAGGAGTGACATTACGACCAGATGTATATGGAGAAAAAGGAATGGAAATTTATTATAACATTTCTCAGAACTCCTCCTGGAATCGTTATGTTGTGAGACTTCAGACATTTCTTTCAGGTAAAGGTGGAACAGTGGTAGGCAAATAATTTAGGAAAGTGAAGAAGTTATATTGAAAAATTGAAGGTTACAAAGAAAAGGAAAACAAACTTGAAAATGAAATACAGGTTAAGTTGAATTCCAATTAACAAAGTATTCGATGTTAAAACTTTTATCAAAGATTTCTATTAAAACAAAGGAACAGAATGTTAGGTCTTCATCTTTTGACATAGTGGCACTTTGGTAGAGAAAACAATTTGACTACAAAAAAGGGTAAACAACTGCAATTTAAAGAATTACTGAAGATAAAAGTTCTTTCATAAACCAGAAAATCAATTTTCAGCTTACATTTTACTGTAGTTTATTATCATATATTATCTGCAAGTGAAATGTCAACTTTGCGTTATAACTTCATTATAAATTCTATGCACATTGGGTCATTTCAGCAGGAAAACACGTGTCATACAAGCATGAGTGCTCATACAATTTTAAATATTGATGTCTTCTGCCTACGCAGATTTCTTTATCAAAGTACATGGTAGAGGAAAAACACATTTATTTTTTTTTACAGTTGGTTCTGAGTACATTGAAAAATTCCCATTTATCTTCCTTTTATTTGTCCTAAACAAATGTTTTGTATTTGTCTTGGACTCATATTCTGAAAATTCCACAATAGTTCACAAAGTACAAAGCTACCAGTAGAATAAAAATGTACAATTCAAAAATAATAAAACTTCCACCCACCCTCTGGAACCAACTTCCTTTGGAGCTCCGGATGGCCCCTGACCTTCGCTCGTTCCGCCGCGAGTTGAAGACCTGGTTGTTCCGTAGCCTGGACTGATGGGGGTTTTTTAATGAATTTTAAACTGTTTTAAATTGGATTTTAATTTTATATCGTTTTAATAAGGAACTATGCATTTTACCGTTGTGAGCCGCCCTGAGTCCTCGGAGATAGGGCGGCATATAAATTGCATAAAATAAATAAATAGCAGCATATTAGTGTAACATTCTATTATCTGAAAATATTGTAATTAAGATTACTATGCTAGGCAAGGAATACCAAGCTGTAATCTCAGACATCTGGAGAGCAGAGTTTGGAAAGCTGCAGTGGAGTATAATGGTCTTTGGGCATTATCTTTAACCAACATTTTCAAAGTTTCCCTTCACAAAAGTGGCTCACCATATTAAATTTACTGCAAGGAGGATCCATATTTCAAGACAAGAGTTCACCTCTCCAATATACAGTGCCCTTGAGCTTATTTAAGAGACATTTCATTTGGCTAAGAGTGATATGAGAAGCAATTATGACTTAGCAACATACAAACCAGATTATTATGGCTTGCTCAGCATTATACTTGAGCCTGGCCATTCCGATTTAGTTGGGACACAAGAAATACTTGGCAGCTGTTTCCAATCTGATTTACCTTTCCCGTCAGGCAAGACGTAATGTTGCATAAAATAACTGAAATGTATTAAAAGTTACAGAAGCTTAGAAAACATTAAAAGGAACAAGTACTTTTTGAATTTAGTAGAAACTATTTATTATTTCTTTCTACCTACAATAGAAAATGTTTATTTTTCTTCTGCTTTCTCACTTTAGCATACAATGAAACTATGCAAGAAGGCAACAAAAACTGTAGTCAGGAAAGTTATTACTACCAAAATACATTTGATGCTCCAAATAATGAAAAATACTCTTGCAAATTTACAAAAGATATGCTTGAAAACTGCTCTGGTTTGACGGATTCCACTTTTGGTTTTCCTGAAGGAAGGCCATGCTTAATAATAAAGATGAACAGAGTAAGTATAATACCAGATGTGAAAACCATAGTTTAATACCAATTTAATAGGAAAGAAAATTTTGCTGACAGATACTTTATTATTTTCTGCACTGTGTTCTACAAAGGATTACAAAAATATTGTTAGAACATGAACCTGCAAATGAGGAAAGGTTGAATATGCTCAACTTTAATTATTAATTACCCAAGACAGGAAAATAAATTTTGGAGTCAAATGCATAGAAAAAGCAAAGTACTGAGATCAGTTTCACCAGTCACAAAAGGATGGATTACAAAAATCTTCTCTTTGGTGGACATAAACATTTAATTTCTATAGTCACCTAATGCCTACATTGGTTTATCAACATTAACTTACAAAACTCTTAATAAGGAAATTATATTGCAGATTATAAATTTTCTTCCTGGCAACGGGACTGCCCCAAAAGTGAACTGCACAACTACTGTAAGTATGTATTGCAATGTTCAAATCTTTTAGGCAGCCCACATTTTTCATCTTCTGCCTTTGCTCTAGTTATCACCCATCAAGGACATTTCAATGGTTATTTTGAAACCTTTCATGCGCCTCCACAAAATTATTAAAATAATGCAAACTCAATTAATAATCACATACTTAAATTGGTATGTGAAACGAATCTTGCCCCCTGAGGTTTGCAGAAATTGTACGACGATATGTATTATGCAGATGACATTTCACTGATACACTATTAAGACAGATTCACTTTTAAATAATTAAATTTCCAAATAAGAGCGATTAAACTCACACATTTAAGGGAAAATATGACTATACTCCTATATGGTATTTTTACATACTATGTGATAATATACATTGAATGTCAGTTATCTGATACTAGCACTAATACTTACCTTATTTATGATCAACTGAAGGATGACAGCTCATTTGAGGTAGCATATTATCCCGCAAATGGAACCTTTAGTCTTCACTACTTCCCTTACTATGGACTCAAGGCACAGGTATGTTTCCCCTTCAACTTGTTTTGTTTTGATAGGTTTGTTGCATATATTTTAACTTTATTAACATTTGTCATATATGTTTCCATCTCAGCCTAGCTACACTAATCCACTGGTAGCAGTGAAACTTCTCAACTTTACTTACAATAAAATACTACACATAAAATGCCGAGTTGTTGGCGTTGGAATTACTTCAGATAACCCACATGATCCATATGAAGGAAAAGTAGAATTCAAACTTCGGATACAAAATTAATCAAAGTTTATAAAAATTGCATTGAGAATGTATGTTATGTAGCTTTGTATTATTATTTGTATGATTTCAATTTGAGTAAGTGTACAGTTTATAGCAAAATTAGTCACAACTTTAACAATCCACTGTATAAAGTTTCTTTTCATTATCTAGTATGCTTTATTAGAAAAGTTAATTGGATTTTTCCACACCTGAGAATACCAAATATATACTTGGTTTACTACATATTTGACAATGGGATATGATTCCACTGAATGTGTGTAAAGTTATATAATACACAACTATTTATATATTGAAAAATATTAAACATAATAAATTACTTCTGGAATAATTTGTATAATAAAGTGGCCAGGAAGAAAAACACTGCTTTGCATTTCAACATATTTCATGAGGAAAATAAGAACTATTGTATGAAAGAAACATATAAACAAAAGCTGGTGAATCAAATATAGCTCCTGAGCCTCTCTCTTTGTGACTCTAGAAACTCCAAAACAAGGTTAGTAAATTTGGGCAGTAAACTGAACCTGGGAAGGATGATCTTATTGATTGGAAAACAAAACTAACTAATTCACTTGACAGTATTAGGATACATTGGAAGAAAATTTACAATGCTTCAGTGCCATAGTGCCAGCAACAACTTAGTAACCCAAACAAAATAAAAACACAGACCTTAAATGTGAAAAGGTTGCATACTCTGATCTAAAACTATCATGTATTTTTTTTACTGTTGTTTTATTGTATTACTAGTGTTATTTTAGAAATTACTGATTTGCTTTACAGAGGCGTCAGTGGAAACTTAATTTTAAATTGAATGTCTTAGCATATTTTAAAATGGAATTTATGCAATCGTGTTGAATAAATTTCTTTCAAGTATCTAGATTATTTTAATATGAAGACATTTTAATAATTGAAACACACACACATACATCTGCATATACAAAGTACATGTATTGAGACAGATCATCTTCATAATGAATCTTCAACAAATTTACTACCTGCATGATGGTGATAGATAGGTAAGTGGAAGCAGTGTTTATGGGGTATTAAAAAGAAGTTATTGACATGAATTAAGGATAAGAAGGAATGGGGTAACACCAGAATTGGTGCCATAAGGGAAAGCCCAGGACGTTGCAACCATCTGTGACATTCTGTAATGAAGATGTCCATCAAAATTTTGTTGATGCATCTGCCTCTTGCTTTTACACCATGATGATAATACCACTCTACTATATCAATGTATAACAGCAAAATATAAAAAGGGATTTAGAGATTGATATTTGCTTTTAAATTACTAGCTTAGTAAAATGTTTCCTACACTGGAGAGGCACTCAGTAAAATTTCATATGCAAATATAAAGCATGTTGATGCATATAGGGGAATCAGTTCTTTGCATACCTTAATAATGAACTTGAGAATTTTCTAAGGCTCATAGTGGGAAGAATAACAGAAAATGATACAATGGGGAGAAAGGTTTGTGATGTAGTTCTTGGTATCATTAGAGACTCAATTCCTGCTGTACATAAGGATTTCAAATCATTGGACTGGGTAAATATTTACTTCTTGAACAAATCCCAAAATAAGAAAGTGAAGTCTTATCTGATGTGACATACAGTACTTACAATAGCTAACATTTCAGACATAAAATGAAGTATTTTATACTGATAAGAATATATAAGTCCCACATTATTTTTCTTATTCAATTCTTAATCCCCAACACTGACTGTATCAATATGCCCACAGACACCTTCCTTGGTAGCTAGCAGGCTTCAGTATTATCTGCTTTTATATTTTAGTTCCAAGTAAAGAATGAAGTTTTTTAAATTTAAAAATGTAATGGCAAACTAGCATGCCACAAAGCACCAGCCTCAAGATGAATATTTATTCTCAAGAAATAAAATATATACAAAGAGGAACTCTTGAAACAGAGTATTTGTGCCTCTTCTGTGACATAAGAGGGGGAAAAAAGACAAGAGGTAAATTAAGATGGAGAACTGGGAAACTGAAAGAGTCATTTTGGAACAACCTATCAGTTTTATTTGTATAAAAGTGCATTTTTTATGACTGGTCACATAATGAGATATTCCCAGGAGAATCCTGATTTAATAAACTTACATATTTGTAGGGTGAATGCAGTCTCCCAAGAATTTAGCAATCATCAGTGCATGCTGTTGCCTCCCATCATCTAGATATAGGTATAAATAACTCCCTACTTACCCTTTAAAAGAGCTCTGAGACTCTTCCATACTGAAGAACCAGATGATAAGTCAAACACAACAAAGCAGAAGGTGAAAATAATCTTGATTAGAGAAACAAAGTATTTGTTAAAAATGCCCACGCGTGTTTTATTAATAAAAACTAATAGTGCCACAATTAAACAAGTAAAACAAACTGCTTATATGCCATAAAATATTACAGAAAGTTTATTTGTGTTTCAGTAAAAAGACTACTGTCTTAGAACAGGCAGCTGACAGTATTTGTGCAGTTAATTCTATGTGAATAAATTTAAAAAGACTACCACCTGTCCTGATTTTTTTTTTATAAAAAATGAAGTATTAAAAGTGATTGACAAGTTTTGAGTTAAACATAAAACATTCTCTATATTTAATTTCAACTTTATAATAGATTACTGGAAGATGTTTATGAAACAAATATAAACCATTTGTTTCAGTACATGTCTTTTATACCATAGACTTCTAAGTATGTAAACAACTATGTAACAAATTGTTTTCAAAATCTGCCTGTAAGAAATCAGACAAATTTTTATCATAAGCAAAACTCATTCTAAACTTTCAAAACATTTACACAGCTATACCAGCCTGGCAGTAAACATTTGCCCCCAAATTATAACTATAATATTTCTAACTTCAGCAAACATAATATATAGAATTTGATGGGCTTACAATGATCAGTATAATTTTAAAAAGGGAAATTAATTCATACAATTTCTGCAAACTAACATTTAAAAGATCCTTTTTTGTTTGATTCTTTGGGCATGGCATGATCAGCAAAATATAGTATAACATTTGATTACTATGCATCAGTACGATGTCACCTAAATGCAATCTAAATAAAATGCCATTCATGTATGCATTTTGACAGGTGGACAGATTTTATTTTCCATTAAATGTGGCTACATTTCAAACTTTGTGACAACATTTAGGGGCAAAATGCATTTTCCTTCAAGTTAAAAATCCTAAGCAAAAGTAAATAAAAATTCTGCATTAACACACTGGTATTAACACACACATCCTCATCACATGTAAAAAAATCTACATAAAAAACAAACAATCTTTACTTTATTGGAGGTGCAATTTTCTAAATTCAGACTCTTACCAGTATCTCCTTGATGGGACAATTTTTGACAATCTCTTCCTAGAATTTATTCCTGCCGCTTGCTGAATTTTAAAAATAAAAAAGTCTACAGGCAAAAAGTATCAGTCATCATCATCATTTTCATTAAATTCGTCATCGTCGTCATCGTCATCATCGCCAACATAAGACACTGGTGTCTCTACTCTGGAGCCGCTGTATTGAGATCCATTGGAACTTGTAGCCAACATTCCATCTCCTCCATTTGAGTAGTCACTGCAAAATGAGCAAATTGCATTAATCTTTCAATTCTACCTTCCATCCCAATTAATACGTTTAGCTAGGACTGGGATAACTGCAGACTCCTAAGGCCAAATACAAAAAATATTGTATATAAACCAATTATAAATCAATGAACTATTATTAAATGAATTATAAATTAATGGAATTCAATGTAGGTAAAAGTAAGCTTAGGCAACAGTACAGGTAGACTAGGTCAAACCTGGCTTAATGCCAGCAACTGGGAGAGGGATCTTGGAGTCCTAGTGGACAATCACTTAAATATGAGCCAACAGTGTGCGACAGCAGCCAAAAAAGCCAATGCAATCCTGGGCTGCATTAATAGAGCAATCAAGATCATGTGAAGTATTAGTACCGCTTTACAAAGTCTTCGTACAGCCACACTTTGAATACTGCATCCAGTTTTGGTTGCCACAATATAAAAAAGAGGTTGAGAATCTGGAACGAGTGGGGAAAAGAGCAACAAAGATGATTAGAGGGCTGGGGACTGAGACACATAAAGAGCAATTGCAGGAATTGGGTATGATTAGTCTAGTGAAAAGAAGGGTTATGAGAGATATGAGAGCAGAGTTCCAGTACTCGAAGGATTGTCACAAAGATGAGGGGAACAAACTATTTACCAAAGCAGCAGAAGGCAAGACAAGAGCCAATGAATGGAAACTAATCAAAGAGAGAAGCATCCTACAACTAAGGAGAAATTTCCTAACGGTGAGAACAATCAACCAGTGGAATGTCTTGCCTTCAGAAGCTGTTGATGTCCCATCACAGGAGGTTTTCCAGAAGAGACTGGACAGCCACTTGTCTGAAATGGTATGGACTCTCCTGGTCATGCAGGGAGTTGGACTAGAAGACCTCCAAGATCCCTTCCAACTCTTATTCTAAGTTTTATGTTCTAATTACAATTACCTAGGTACCTTGACACCTAAACTGAAAGTGTTTAGTGCAAAAATAGTCCCAATGGCATGGAACTGTGGGTCTGAACTTGCTCAAGTGAAGTAGGTTTTATAGAAATAATAGAATTCACCTGAGCAAGTTCAGACCCATTTTTTAAGAAACACACTGGGAATCGACAAGAACATGCTAGCCCCCATAGTCAGAGGAAAAACTTGTATTTACTCCATACACAGCCACTCAACAACTATTTTCACTTACTGATGGATAATCCATTCAATGGACCCTGATAAGATTATCCTACCTTCATTTTATACACATGTTTGAAGTTCTTTAATAGTTTTCCTATCTGAAGCTTTAAGACAGGAGTAGGCAGTCTGGCCCTCATCTGGTTCCCAGCTCCTTTGGAGCTTCCAAATAGTACTGTAGAAATTCAGTGGCAAAATGGTCAATTTTGGCAACCGAAAAGGAAAATTTCTTAAGATGCCTTTTGATAAGCAGGT